ATCTCACGAGCCCGTTCGCGCCGATTTTGGTGGGACGCCTCAGCTATAATTGCCGTTTGGCGTCCCCAACATGTCTCTCTTGAGAGCCTCATGGTCGCAAAACGCTGCAGGGGCATCATTTGGGAGCCCCAAGGGGGAGCCACCCTGGCTGATCTCACGAGCCCGTTCGCGCCGATTTTGGTGGGACGTCTCAGCTAAAATTGCCGTTTGGACTCCCCAACATGTCTCTCTTGAGAGCCTCATGGTCACAAAACGCTGCCAGGGGCATCATTTGGGAGCCCCAAGGGGGAGCCACCCTGGCTGATCTCACGAGCCCGTTCGCGCCGATTTTGGTGGGACGCCTCAGCTAGAATTGCCGTTTGGCGTCCCAACATGTATCTCTTGAGAGCATCATGGTCGCAAAACGCTGCCAGGGGCATCATTTGGGAGCCCCAAGGGGGGTCCACCAGGGGCTTCATAGTCACCAAACGTTGCCAGGGGCAGCATTTTGGCTTCCCAAAGAGGAGTCGACCCGGGCCTCCTAGTCACCAGACACTGCCAGGGGCACCATTGGGATTCAGACTCGCACCCAGACTCACTCATACACAAGCTCACTCACACTCAGATTCATTTCTTCAGAGTCAGGCACACACAGACGTACCCATACCCAGACTCACCCACACTCAGGCTCACCTAACCCAGACTCCGTCAGAAGCCAGTAGCGAAGACAGCAGAGAGGAGAGAGAGAGAGAGAGAGAAAGAGAGAGAGAGAGAGAGCGGGAGAGAGCGAGAGAGAGAGAGAGAGAGAGAGAGAGAGCGCGCGAGCGCGAGCGCAGAGCGCGAGAGCGAGCGCGAGGCGAGCGAGTAGACGACGAGAGGAGGAGCGAAGCGAGCGAGCAGCGAGGCGAAGAGAGAGAGAGAGGGAAGCGCGGAAGAGAGAGAGGAAAGATAGAGAGAGAGAGAGAAGGAGAGAAGAGGAGAGAGAGAGATGAGAGCAGAGAGAGAGAGAGAGAGAGCGAGAGCGAGAGAGGGAAGCGAGAGAAGAGAGAGAGGGAGAGGAGAGAGAGAGAGAGAGAGCGGATAGAGAGAGAGAGGGGGGGGAGTGGAGACGAGGAGACCAGGCGATGAGAAAGAGAGAAATTAGAGAGGAGGAAAAGTGGGAGGGGGGAGGGTGAGAGAGAGAGAGAGAAGGGAGAGAGAAGAGAGAGAGAGAGAGATAGGGATAGAAGAGAGAGAGAGGAGAGAGAGAGAGAGAGAGAGAGAAAGTGGAGAGAGAGGGGGGGGGAGAGAGAGAGAGAGAGAGAGAGAAGAGAGAGAGAGAGAGAGAAGAGAAGCGAAGAGAAGAGAAAGAGCGAGGATAGAGAGAGAGAGAGAGAGAGCGAGAGAACGAGAGAAGAGCCGAGCGAGAGAGTAGCAGAGAGAGAGAGAGAGAGGGAGAGAGCGAGGGAGAGCGAGAGAGAGCGAGAGAGAGCGAGTGAGAGCGAGAGAGAGAGAGAGAGAGAGAGCGAGAGAGAGCGACAGAGAACGAGAGAGAGCAAGAGAGAGCGAGAGAGCGAAAGAGAGAGAGAGAGAAGCGCGAGAGAGAGAGAGAGCGAGGGAAAGAGAGAGCGAGGGAAGAGAGAGAGCGAGAGAGAGAGAGAGATAGAGAGAGAGAGATAGAGAGAGAGAGAAGAGAAGAGAAGCGAAGAGAAGAGAGAGAGAGAGAGAGAGAGAGGGAGAGTGAGAGAGAGAGGAGAGAGCAGAGAGAGAATAGAGAGAAGAGAAAGAGGAGAGAGAGAGAGAGAGAGAGGCAGAGATAGAGGCAGAGAGAGAGAGGCACAGAGAGAGAGGCACAGAGAGAGAGAGGCAGAGAGAGAGAGGCAGAGAGAGAGGCAGAGAGAGAGAGAGAGGCAGGGAAAGAGAGGCAGAGACAGAGAGAGGGCAGAGAGAGAGAGGGAGAGAGACAGAGAGAGCAGAGAGAGAGAGAGAGAGGCAGCTCAGTCACACTTAAATCCAGATTCGTCCTCACCGAGTCCCACCACCAAGGGAGCGCCAGCAAGGAGATGCACATATGGGGATCCCCACGCAGTGAATAATTTTTAGGGGGGGGTCGATTGGTAAGGGATGTGGAGCAGCGGCGAACTTCCCGTGCTGATCTCTTCATGGCAAGGGGCCCCGGGCGAAGGAACACGGCGTTTGGTCGGGCATGTCCCCCTACCGGGGGATCTTGGACGAAACATCAAAGATACGCTCCCCGACAAAGGCTCCCAACTAGCCAAGAAGTCAGAAGGGCCCCCGCAGGGGCAGGCCTCGGGGATCCGGGGCGCCCGTCGCCCTCGGGTTCGGTAGCAAGTCATGGGAGCTTGGTGTACCCTTTCAATTACGTCTTTAGCGTTCGTTAGCGTCGATTAGCGTCTGGGGGTCGATGAGAGAACGCCGATTTAGCGTCAGTTCGCGTCGGTTAGCGTCGATTTAGCGTCGATTAGCGTCGACTAGAGTCGACTAGCGTCGATTCGCAAGAGCCGACAAGATGGTATGGGAGGCTCCCATGAGTTGCCACCGAACTCGGGGGCCCCCGCCTGCCCCCCGCGACAGGGGGCGGGGGGGGCGGAGAGGCCTGGCGGGCCTCGGGAGCGCCGTGGGCGCCGCCGTCCTGCCCAGCGCCCCCCCTCCCTGCTCGGGGGGCGGCAGGGAGGGGGGGGGATGACTAGGGTCGGAGGGCACCAACCATACACCAACACCGATCCCGGCTCAGGATCACCCTGGGCCCAGGATCGGTGTATATGCCTTCTTGCCCAGGGCAGGAGGGCGTACACACCGATCCTGGGGCCCAGGGTGATCCTGGCCAGGATCGGTGTTGGTGTATAGTTGGTGCCTTCCTATAGGGGGGGGGATATCATGGCGGGGGCCATGAGATTTCCCCGGGTTTCGCGGCGCCCCGTCTTGTTTCATTGCGTCCCTGGCCCCCCCGCTGGGCCGCGCAGATGCCGCCGGTCATGATTTGCACCCCCCCCCTTTGAACACCCCCCTCTTGGCCGCTCCCGACCTTCTCGGGCCAGGGCATCTGGGCGACGGGAGGCTTTTTTTTTGCTAGTGTTGAGTCGGGCATGTCCCTCCACACGAGGAGTATTCAAAGATGGTCTAAGAAGAAGTCTTGGGATGATTTTTTTGAGCATTTCTTGGCTATTAGGGAGTATTTGTCGGGTGGCGTATACTTTATGTTTCGTCCAAAATCCCCCTGTAGGGGGATATGCCCGACCTAACGCAATGTTCCTTCTCCCGGGGCCCCTTGCAATGAAGAAATCAGCACGGGAGGTTTGCCGATGCTCCAAATCCCTTATTCATTGACCCCCCTAAAGAAAACGGACTCCCCTCCACATGCGACCTGCTATTCCGGAGCCCCCTCTTCGACGGGGCGCCTGGAAAAACCGGACCTCCTAAGCTGCAATCCAAAGCAAGCGCCCTAATAAACCAGACCCCCCCAGTTACAAAAAAGGCGCCTTAAAGAACCGGACCCTGGGGACGATTAGTAAGGGATTTGGAGTATGCTCGGCCTCCCGAGGTCCTCGCCGGGCCAAAAAGCGACTCGGGAGGGAAAGCCCGTCCTGGGGAAGGAACCGGGATCTCTGGGGGTCGGCGTCACACAAAATTGTCATGACGGCGGGGGTTTGGGCACGCAGGAGGTGTTAATCATGAGAAGCCTTTGGTCAAGGTCGGTTCGGGGAAGGTTCCTTAGTGGTCTTCGTGTTTGTTCGATGTTCTTGTGCTTCCTGGGGGAAGGCACCCTCGAATGTTCTTCAGTTTGGCCGGCGGAGGGTCTCATACTCTTGCAGGATGATGCTCTGCCCGAGGTTCGACTGTACCAGCCCGCCCTTGCCCGGTTGCAGCGCCCGCGAAGTCACGTCCCTTGTCTGCGCTAGCAGATCCGCGGTGGAAGACCGTCCTTCTCTGACCCATCCCCGCCTCATCCTGCACAGCTTGATGTGGCTGGCACGCCGATCGTTGAAGGGCAGGCATTTTCCTGGATCCCCAGATCCCACTCTGCTTCAGCCGCCTTCCTAACTACTTCAAGAGTCGAGCGGGGTGTTCCCTCTTCCTCTTTTTTTCAGGGGGCGGGCGGAAGCCCAATCTACTTCCCAACGCCCTCCTGCTTCAAGAGTCGATTGGTGTTCCTTCTTCCCTCTCCTTCAGGGGGCGGGCGGAAGCCCAATCTACTTTCGAACGCCCTCCTGCTTCCTGTTTCTGCGCGTTCCTTCCGACCGACGGGGAAAGTTCTGGCAATAAATGGCCCCCCGATGGTTTTCCAGGTTTATGATTTTCCAACCTACGTTAGCCTATACCTCCAGAAAGAATGTCGAGCGCCAACATGTACCGAAACTGGAGGGTTTTCACGTGTCGGGCCCTGGGAGGCGACACTGGTTCGACACTGTTTCGATACTTTTTTGTGGGTGCTCGAAATTATTCCTGGGATGTGGTCCTTAAGCACGATGGGAGTAGCATGATCCCAGGAGCGCCTCCTCCGACCCCCTGCCTCCTCTCAGGAAGGCCGGCCTCCTCGCCTCGCGCAGATCCCCCTTCTTCCAGGAGAGCCGGCTTCTAGTGAGGAGGAGGAGGAGGAGGAGAAGGAGGAGGAGGAGGAGCAGGAGGAGGAGGAGGAGGAGGAGGAGGAGGAGGAGGAGGAGGACGGGGTCCGCGTCGTCGTCCTCGCCGTCGTCGTCCTCGTCGTCGTCCTCGTGCGCTCCCCCGGTCTCGGCCCGCGCGCCGGCGTCCGCCGGCGCCGCCGATCGAGAAACGCCCCGCTCGAACGTCGGGTGCGTCTGGGGTTCTAAGTCGGGCCTGTCCCTCTACAGGAGGAACGTTCAAAATGCGTATAAGAGCACAAGCCTCGGGAGGATTTTTCTATCATTTCTGAGAGTGTTTGAATTTTTGCTCGTCAATTCGGCTTTTTCGATATTCTTAGCTGTTGCTAGTTTTGCGTCCGACATCCGCCTGTAGGGGGACACGCCCGACCGAAGTCTGGGGGCCTGCCCGCGCCACCGCAGGAGGACGCCCCGCGCCGGGCCGCCAGCGAAGCCGGGGCCCTGCGCGAGGGCGCGGTGCGCGGGGGAGGAGAGGGTACCCACACCTCTACCCTTCCCTGGTGTTCCCCTTTTTGGGCCTCCTGGGCGGCCCTCGTCGCCACCGCTGGATTCCCCTCGAACTCCGTGTCGGAGAGCACCCCGGGAGAGGTCCGGGGAGTAGCGGTATCGGTCCCTTTGATATCCCTAGGTGCGGCAGTTGCAGCAGAAGCTGCGCGAGGTCGAGCGCCTCCGCGCAGAGGCGGGCGCCCGCGCGGAGGCGTGCGAGGCACGGCCGAGCTTTTGTCATCGTTCGGACGCGTGTGTTTTCTACGCCTCCTAGATGGGGTCGGAGGATCGCGCCGCATCGCCGAAGCATCGCCGATGCGGCTCGATGTGCAGCCCGAGTTGCTTCACGTCGACGTCACCGATGCATCGCCCAGGTCGACGACGCATCGCCGGTGCATCGCAGATGCATCGCCGATGCATCGCCGATGTATCGGCGATGCGGCGCGATCCTCCGACACCATCTACTCGCTCCCCACCTAGGGGGCCTCTACATTTGCTTCATGGGAAGAACAATTGAGGAGCATGTTGGGCCATCCTGCAACAAAACTACACGCACGAAGCCGAAAGATGCACAGGGAATGGACGTCCGAGCGATGGCGAGCGGGGGAGGCGCGAACTTTGGTCGAGAGGAGCTCAAGAGATGGGAGTCGATGCCAAAGTTAAGTCGGGCCTGTCTCTGTAAATGAGGAATATCAAAGAATAGTGAAACATTGCATGGAGACGATGTTATGTTTTTTGTTTGCGATTTTTTGTGTATGGCTCGACTATCTTTGACTTTCACTCCAAGACCCGCCTGTAGGAGGATATTCCCGACCTAACGCAAACGGGGGCAAGTCAGAGCGCTGGATCTTGCAGGACTTGAGCCAGGGTCGCATGTCCCTTTACTTTGGCGCAGGATCCTGCACGGCGTGACTGACCCGGGTTGAGATGGTCCCGGGCCAGTGCATCCCCGAGTCTGACGGAGCGTTCGTCCAGGAAGGTGTTTCCAGCAGTGGCCGCGAGGGCGACCCGGGAGGCCCGCGACGGCCCAATGGCATCCCAACACATCGGCCACCGATCTTCGAGCTCCCAGCGAGGGCACCATCCGCGTTGGGGATGCGCCGAAATAGACGAGGACAGGAGAAGGAGGAGATCTCCGAAGGAGAGCTGAGTGAGGCGTGCAGGTGGCGGGGCGTACGGCGGGGGTGTTCGTTCACAGTCGGAAGGGTTTCGTACTTATCTGATGCGGGCGGCGGAAGGTGTTCCGCCAGCTCTCAGACCTTGGATTCCTTATCCAATGGTTTCTTGTCCAAATCCCTCGCCGTAGCAATTAGTGATCCCCCGGCGTTATCCGTAGCACTCGGATCAATCCATTAATTTCCGAGGGGGGGATTTGCCGAGCGATACCGTTCAGCATTCTGGCAGATTTTATCAGCTAAGCTCATCGGCAGGGGGGAGTGTGAGGAGCAAGACAGCGTGCACTGTGGAGTCTGGGGGCGGTCATCACTTTCAGGGCTGCGAGGAGCGATAGAGTTTCGCCGAGAATCGAGAGGGTCGACAAGCGCTGACCGAGGTCAGCTGCAGATTCTAGTGCGCGTCATGGAGAGCTCTCGTCCCCACGGCTGGATTCTCATTGAAACTCTTGTCAGAGCGCACCCTGGGAGATGTCCAGGTGCGAAATGACTCTTCGGAATCTTGTCGGGTCCGAGGCTGGAAGTTTTCCTCGGACTTCTCCGTCGGTTCTCGTCGGTTTCCAGCCTCGGGGTGCTCTCCAGCAGCTGCGCGTCGCCCAGGGTGTCCTGGGGCTGCTCGGATCGTCCCAAACTGCCGTACCCCCAGCCGACCATGCAGCGCCGGTGGGGCCCCGATAGCCCACCCCGCCCAGCGAGAGCGGGCGGCGGCTCCGCCGTCGATCTGTCTCGGCGATATATGTCGGCGCTGGTACCCATCGGTCGTTGAAAGCAGGTATTCTTGGACTCTCAGATTCCAG